GTCCCACATACAGATTCCCACACCATAACAGCTTATCCATAAAAATCTTCCCTCCTGGGATTGACAGAAAAACCAGAAGGCTTCTTGCAACTTCTTCTTGACCCAGCACCCTCCTGCCAGCCCTCAGTCCCTAAGCCCAACTCTATGTAGAAGCAACTGTAAGATGACAGACATTTGTAGAGCCAGATGGAAACAACCTCATCAAAGCTCTTCCCCCACCTAAGCTACTCACAGGCTGTGATCAGCCTCTGATCAGCCTCTGCTGGGAGACCACAAGCTGACTGGCCACACAGAGCTTGGTCAATGTTTCTTGGTGGTACACCTGAAACTACTTCTCCTCTCCCACGGAGGAAGATGAGCTCATTACAAAACCTTGTGGCTTGTAACACCACCTTCCTCCTTCTCTTCCTCCCCAGAAATGCTGCCCTCTGTGCAGATACAGCCTCCCAGGATGCTCTGTTCCACTACGCCAATAAAAATCAGGAGTCAGATTCACGTTCCTGGAACTCTTAGAAACCACATGCATGACTATAAGCTTTAACATCCTCAGCCCAAAATGCCACCCCTACTTCAACACAGGCTGCTTGCCATAATATCACAAACACAAAACAGGGGCCTTCATCACTGCCATGGAGACAAGAATGCTACTGTGCTTGTTTTTCTGTCAGGGCCACTTGGATGATCTGCTCAGTGGTGTGATGGAGAAATCAAATCAACGACACCATCACCCACTGATAAGTGAAGCAAGAGAGACCGCAGTCAGTCACCTGCAGGGCCATCCTTTGCCATCAGCCATTGGCCTTCAGCCATTTAACTGGCAAAGGATATAAAGAACTGAAAGAATATGGGAGGACCATTATAAATAATTACATTTTGGCTACCTCTCTGAAGTTGGAAGTCACAGGGAAAAAATCTCAGAGCTAGTGCGTCTACAATGGCCTGAATCTTATTTCCCTCTCATTCACTCTGGAGAGGATGACAAGTAATGTCAGTGGAATCAATTGAATAACAGGGGGACAAGGCTGAGAAAGAGACTCGCCCCTGTCATCCAAACAGACCCTACATCATTGCTCCCTGGCTCCCTGCTGACCAGGGCTCTCATTCTCCTCTGCAGCACATCTCAGGGGCTCATTTTCCCCAGCATAAAGAGTAAGCAAAAATACCAGTAGATCAAAATGACAGGTTTGTATGTTATCAGCTGCAAAGACAGTGGAAATTCAGGACAACCATATCTGTAATAAAAGAGGGACAGCAGTGATATGAATATCTTTGCTTTTAATTTGATAGCATGAATGTGCTATCCAATAAGCTGAAAATATTATGAGAGCCCCCAACTTGAATCTCCGCCAAGCAAACTATTTTTAGTGGAATGTGTTTAGCTTGCTTGTTAAAGATTTAAACCTAGGCAATAATTGCAGTTACTCTTCTGTCTGATTTAAGTAGGCAACATTTATTAATGTACAGTGATTAAGTCAACTACTCCAAAGTAAGCCACAAAGACTTAAAGTGATGAGGAAACAGGATGATATCCTGGCTGAAGAAAGTCAGCCCTGTGATCTAAGTAAGATCTGATCCACGATAAACAGCTTATTAAGGCAGAGTGGAGGGAAGAGAGCTGCAAGTTATGAAGGGGAATTTGATTTATCCCTCTGAAGGCAAAGTGATAACTGACTGATCAGAGCAAACTCTGTCATAGATTCTACAGACCCAGTTATTTCATGCAGGTCTCTGAACAGATGTTGGCTTAGAGTAAGTCCATGCAAAAGTGGGATTCAGATTGGGAAAGAGATTCATCCATGATCAAACCCCTGATCCATATTGTTATTCTGTGTTCACACTTAACACCATAAATCAGAGTTCAGTATCCTGCATATTCACTCTTTAAAATGTCCTGGTTGAGCAGCAAAGTTCTCCTGCCCTGTCTGTCTTGCAAGTGTACAGGTGTGTACAAGCTCTTTAGCAACAGATAAAACAGGATATAATCACCCTGCATGCTGGGGGTGAGGGAAGTTGCTTTTGATGACGATATTCCGAACACTTGGAATACCCAGTGATTTTTGCTCGATTTATTTATGTTGAAGAAAATAAATCTACAAATGGATCTACCTGCTTCAGCTATTTGTGCAAAACACCTCATTAAATAGAAGCACTTTTTTCCTAAAAAAGCCCTGTACAAATCCAATGGGTAAAAGGATAAATGGCTATAATCTTTGAATACACAAGACTACACAGAGTAGGTATTTCATAGCTGCACAAAGCCCATAATTGAACTTCTGCCCTAGGGGTAAGTTTTCCTGCAGTGTAAGTGCTTCCAGATGCCATACAGGGGTCATGTTCCTTGTCAGGAAGGCAGAGCTTTACATCCAGTTAATTGTTATCCCCAGCTGTCTTTTTTTTTTTTTTCATTGAGGCTAGTTTTCCAACAGTCATTCAAGCAAATGTGCTCATTTCCCAGTTCCCCCGCAATTCCCCACCACAGTGTAACAAAGTGCAGATTTTGCATGGCTGCATTCCAAACTCCATGGTGTTAAAATCATAGCAGCAATGGAAAAGCATGTAGCCTCAATAATCATAATGTAGGACTTGAACTAGAGGAGACTCAGTGGTAGTCAAACAGATGCTATATGAAAATAGAACGTTTTCTATGTACAGAGTGGTTAACCCATGGTGTTAGTACTCACACATGAAGGTTTTCAGCGCTTGCTAAGCAGCAAAAATTACTCAGTCTGAATTAAACTGATGACCTCAGTTCAGTTCACTGTGTCTGGGTGTCCATCTCAGAACACAGTGACCATGAACAGCAAGTCCCTTCTCCCATAATTCCTTTGGACTTCATCTTTGGCGTCAATCATACAAAAAAAGGCAAAGATCATGTCCATCCAGTATTCGGATCTCTTCAGCTCAGTAGCAAAATAATCACTGATTTGGGACAGCTCAACAGTGGCTGAGAGGAAAAGTCCACACCACAGCCTGCTGCAGAACAAACTAAAAAAAATTGCAAGGAAGACAGTGGATATAATAAAAGGGCAACCCAACCCCTTTATCTTCCTCAATGTATTAATGAGAAACTCTTGTGCGTTCATTTGCAATGCCACTCCCTTGTTACCAAGCACTAGCTACCAGCTGCTTGGGTTACCAGACCTGTTGAAGAAAAGCTTGGGGACTTCACAGTTCAGGCTGCCAAGCAACTGACATTAAACACTCAAGACCAAAGTCTAGGGAAGGATTTTACACCAACTTGCTCAGGTTTACCAATAATAGCTCTGGAAGAGGCAGCTTCAAGCCATTATAGTTGTGCTTTTCAGACTGTCCTTCAATATAGATACAGTCCTACCTAAATAGCCCTTAGCACTCTCTCTTTCCTCAGAAAACAACCCAGCTTTTTTAGTCAACAAAGGATCACTTAATCTTTGCAATAAGAAGAGGTCTGACATTTACAGCAATCAAGTGCTAATCTCTTTGGTGTCTATTCTCTGGATTCCCCCAACAGGGAAACCCACACTATTCTGTAGGCTTCCTGTTGAAGTTGTCACTGCTTGATGACAAAAAACAAATGTATGCCATAATCTGAAAGGTCTGGAGCTAAATATTTAGAGCTCAGTTGTTGGGAAGAACGGCCGGAGTCAAGAACCATACTCAATGTGAGTTAAACATCTTGCTCGCTCATTGTTCAGATGTCTTGACATTTATACAAGACTGACTTGTCCACGCGCCTTATACAATACTCTAATTGGTACAATACCCCGGTTCATGCGACACTATCTTATCCTCTAATGGCTGTGCAAGCTTCTTCACGAGGTGTCCAGCAGTTACTTATCTCATTCTTTGGCATCCAGGAGTTGTCTGTCAGGCTCTTCTTATCTTCCTTTTTCCCAGCGTACAAGGACACAGCGTCCTTGTCTGCTCCAGCACTTTGTAAACTTATGCTTCGTTCCCACCTAACGGCTGGGTTGCTCACATGCCCTCGCCCAGCCAAGAAATCCTCAACACTCAGTCAGCACCTGGGCCTCATAAGGTTGTATTTTCCCCAGCAAAGTTCACTAAATTTTTGGAAGATCTGAAAAGTACTTCTTTTTTATCATTAGTTCATAAACAAAAAAACAGAGGGGAAGTACATCATCATCAGAATGTTCCTCATCTGAACGTGCCTCTTCTAAGCTTCTGTTGGACCAGAAAGCAAACAGGTTGTGCCAAGCCTTCTTCTCTTTGGGGGCTCGTGCCAAGGCTAGGGTTTGGATCTTCTGATTTGTTAGCACAGATAATTCCCACTCACATTCCCCCTTGCAAGACGAGGGCAAGGAACACTGTGAACTTTCAGGAAACATTGCTGAGCAGCATGTCCCCGTGCTCCTCCCTGTGCTGAAACTTCACCAGTTCAGACAATATCTTACTGCTGTTGTTGCAATTAACCTTCAGAGAAAATTATTAACTGCAATCTTATGCATATGAGGGACTGATCCAGATTATTAGCCTAGAAACTATGTCCTTACTGCAATTCTACAGTTGTTTCTCCTCCCTGGATGAAATCCTGACACCTTCCCCACAGCCTGGCAGTGCTTGCTCACTCAAAATTAAAGGACAATTATCTCCAACAAGGAGAGAGGTGATCACAGCTCCTTCCTTAACTGGGACACTGGAAATTAAAAAGTCCTCCCCTCACCAAGTGCTGCTCCTGAAAGATCCTGCACAAAATCAGGCACAGTTTTACCTGTAATCTGGCTTGATATGCTAAATGTTTCAAAGAAAAAAGCTGGGGTCAGCATCATCTCTGACAGCCAGAACATGATATGCTTGGATGAGGAGTTTGGGGGGGTGGGGATCAGCCTCTGTGGGGACCTGTGCTTGGCTCCTGTTCGCACAATGCCTGCCTCCAAGCACAAACTCCCACCCGGCCCCACTGCCCGCCCCC